CTGAGACACATCGCATTCCCCAATCTAGGGAGCACATCCCTGGGATCATTTCGGAACAGACTTTATGGTGCTTTTAACCCCTCTACCACAACAAGCAGTGGGAACAGTGAAGACAGACCTGCTCTCTTGTACACAATGAGCATTATAAATGCAAGACAAGAAGTCACAAACGCAGACTGAATTCACCTCTTGTAAGAGCCTCAAAACTCCTGTTATCCTGCACAGGCGGAAAGAACAGCAAAGAAAAAACCCACCTTAGTCTAATGTTCTCATTTATGTCCCTTCTGGTGAAACGGGTGCCTTTTATTACATTTAGACTTGCTCACTTCAGAAGCCTGTTCAACTGTCGGGAGCGTCAGATACGCTTCACTCGCATTAAGAAACACGGTAGCTTTCAACTCATCTCACATAGAGCAGTTTTCACTGTATTGAGTCAGAAAAAGGAGAATCACAGTCAAACACGCTGCAGTGCCTCAGACGGGATGAGCACTTCAGCAGCAGCTAGACAAGCAAGGACAGAAAGGAAAGTGAACTACGCCTGAGGCACCACATACGCTCCAATTAGAGTTAAAAGTCACTGCGTTTCACAGCCATCAAACACAAGTGCAACATACCAAGACCAATGAAACGGGCGCACCCAGAGTCAGTCTCTGTTGGGATTCAACAAACTGAGCAGAGGTTTACAGGGTCACTTCTTGTTTGAGAGACAGTTAAACAAAATCCACCATTAGCACTAAGTTATTCCAACCATTCGCTGAACTTCCCCCTGAATTTCTTATCACCTCGCATGACATTCCTAGGTGCACCCGGTGTTGAAATAAGCGTCTTCCAAAAGCTGCCATTGTTAGGTTTTGTCTTCTTTAGAATAAGGCACTTCAACATACAGCTCCTGCTTTCCCAAACCGGTTCTTGACTCAAAGGTGAACGGCTCTTTCCACTCATTTACCTGTACAATGCAGAGCTCCCAGTTACAACTCCAACTCAACCTCATCCGTCCCTTACACACATGCACAACTCAGAGTGCACTGCAATTTAAACTGCTGTTCAAACCCTGGCTGGTTTTGAAGCAGCTTATTCAACCAAGCAAAACTCTTGTGAGTTTAGAGATTATGTCCCTACTTCTTATACGTTTGGTCATACAATCCCACTGGAACATAAGCATCATCCTACCAATTAACACATCTTAAAGCTTGTTCCTCAGTTAAATCCCAAAGAGCTCCGCAAGTCAGGCCTTCAGAAGGGCAGCTCTGCCAGAAAATACTTATTTACTTTAAACTAGATGCTGCTGCAAACAGTCTAGAAAGTAGGTTATACCTTGTCATTTCAAGCAATAAAAGCAGGCCACAAAAACAAGATGAAAAACACACCATCCTCCTACTCCCCACCACCCTGACCTCTCCGCTTCACCCTGACACAAGCACTAGGAGACATCCAGGCAGACTACACGAGTACTCTCAAAATGGATCTACATCATTTTCCTCTGCAAAGATAACCTGGCAGCACAAGAAATCTCTGCTAAACAGCATCTCTCAATAGCCAAGTTACACTTTGCTTTATTCCATGTTATTAACTTCTACCTCCTTGGACCACCCTCAGGGATCCTTCTGCATTATGTTCTTCAAATGCTTGCAGATAATCATATCTCCCACTTAGACATCATTTAGCCAAGTTTCATGCATTTCTTTTCATCTTCTTTCTCTCATAAATCAATCCCTTCAGCCTCTCCAGCGTTCTTGCTGCTCTTCCCTGAATTTCTTCCAAACTACCACCATCTTTCAGTGACTGAGGAACTTCCAATTGCATGCTGCATTCGAGATGTGTTTTTGTACTCTAAAGAAAGATAATTAAGTCTTTTCAAGAAATATTAATGCTCCAAGCCTGGAATAAATCTAAATCAGAGATTATTTCTTCCCCCCCCGAATGGATAGTAATTATCCCTATTTCACAAGCAGAAGAGCAGAGCGAAGTATCTGACTTACTGCTGCACACAAGCAGTACCAGAATAAGAAACAGATCCATGTTCTGCCATTCCCAGTTGTGCTCTGCCAACTTTCAGCCCACAGACGATGTGAGACAACGTTCCCAGGCCGTGATCCACAGAGAAACACAAGCCATTTCCAAGTGACTACAGAACAACATTTGGGGAGCCCAACAGTTGCCTGGTGAGTGCTGGAGGCTGCTGGCACCAGTGGGACTAAAACCACCCTACAAATGCACCATGGTCTGCTATGACCTTAAGTAGTCAGGACACAAGTCTCTGACATCTATACCTCATTTTTATTGCTATGTAGAGGTTTGTTCCTAAAACTAGTCCTCATTTATCATAGAATCCCAGACTGATTTGGGTTGAAGGGACCTTAAAACTCATACAGCTCCAGCCCCTGCCACGGGCAGGGACCCCTTCCACTGGAGCAGCTTGCTCCAAGCCCCTGTATCCAACCTGGCCTTGAACACTGCCAGGGATGGGGCAGCCACAGCTTCTCTGGGCACCCTGTGCCAGCGCCTCAGCACCCTCACAGGGAAGAGCTTCTGCCTAAGAGCTCAGCTCAGTCTCCCCTCTGGCAGGTTCAAGCCATTCCCCTTGGCCTGTCCCTGCAGGCCCTTGTCCCAAGCCCCTCTCCAGTTTTCCTGCAGCCCCTTTAGGCACTGGAGCTGCTCTAAGGTCTCCCCTTCAGGAGTCTTCTCTTCTCCAGGCTGAACCAGACCAACTTATCCTCAGGTTAACTACCTGAACTACTTATTTCCTTTCAGAGGTTAAGACTGGTTTTAAATATGAGAGGACTGACGCCTGCCAGGCTGAGGCAGTTCAACTCACACATTTCCTTCCCTTCCCTGATACATTTGCGAAGGAATCATGGGGAAATAACTTCATAAAAATTAAAGGGAACTCTTCACAAAAGAATTCCATAAAACCCTGGGCGAGGGGAGGCTGAGAATGGGGCGAAGGGAGAGAAAAGGCTGATCAGCTAAAGAAAACAAACAAAAAAACCCCCAAACCCCACAAACAGGATGTAGACACATTAAAAAAGCAACACTGATCTAACAAAGGAATGTGAACTACAGTTGACTTAAACAGCATCACAGCAATAGCCCTCCCCCTCCACACAAATCCCTGCATCTCTTAAAGACACAGCGTTTAGCCCCTTCCAAAGTCTGTGGTTCTTTCCCCTGCTACCCACATGCTGGTTGACGCTCTTAGCTTGAGCTGATTTAGCTTATTGCCTTTTCTTTCCAGACAACAAGGGTGCCCAAGCCTGACCCAGACTCCAAAGCAAACTAACTGTATTATTCTGCCAGCCTTCAAGAGGTATTAAATTCTACCATTCCTGCTACATATTCTTCTCATTGAAAGAACAAACTAGAAAGGCTCCTCTGTTTCATGGTCTGCTGTTAAACATCAGGAGAGTATAACCAAGATTAGATAACAAACACCTCGGTGAAAGGTATCATTTCTTCCCACTAACTTAATATCCAAAGCAAGGCGCTATTTCTAAGTCAGTGTATGATTTTCTTAACGTGACTGCTGGTTTGCAATTACAGCTCCTGCTTACAGGTGACACAGTCTCCTTATGAGGCTTCTCCCCATCCCATAAAGAACCATTTCCTCCATTCCCAACGTAGAAATGGCAAAGTAAATGCCATCCCTCCCGTTGTCCTTCTCTTTCATCACATTTTTACCTCCAGGAGAGAAAAGCTACTAAGAATACTATGTTTTTAAGCAAGATAGCATCTTGACTTTCAGCTTGAACCCTTTTCAGCTGTAAGGTCACTACACATCATTTCACCGCCCACCAAAAGCAGCCTATTCGCAGTGAATGCTTAAAAGCTTTTTTGGGCTAGAAAATGCAAAACATACGTGTGTCTGGTGAAACCTCTTGCTTTACACATGCACTATGCTTGCTAAGTAGGCTCCCAGACCTATTTGCAAAGCCTAGCAGAACTGGAATTACAGCTAAGACAGAACACAGGAGAGGTTTTTTCAGTCCAAAATTCTTATCTTGCTATAGGAAGAAAGAAATTGCTGAGGGTCAAAATTAGTGCTGTTGTATCAAGCCTTAAATTAAATGAAAAACAGCCCATCTTCAGCAAGAAATCAGGAAAACTCAGGCTTCTCTATAGTCCAGTCACTATGTGACTGGTTGCTGTCACAGAACATCATGATTTCTTTCCTTTACTTGTACTACAGAAATAATCTCTCTAAAGAGGGTGAAGGATTAACTAGTGACAAGTGGACTGGAGAAACTACAGAAGTACAAAAGTGCTCCTAAGTATCCTTAAAATCTTATCCCACGATCTTGAGTTAAACACAGCACCTATTCAAAAGCACCTTTTGAAAAGGCTCAGAACTTTCCTACCTTAGAAGAAGGAGAAAAATCAACCACAGTAGTGATGCTTTTAAACTCCAGCACCCATCGTTCCCCATGCTCTAACCCAAAGAGGCATAAATCCCTGCTGTAATTCAACAAGGATGAAAAATACAGTACTACATAATATCATAAAACCAGGAGACATGAGCAATAAAAAAACCTCTCAAGATTTCCAAAGACTCATTTATCAAGCAGTTTTTGCTTGAAGGCAAGTTAGATAATAACACGCAGAACAGAGCCAATTTAAGGCACTTGCATCCACTATGCTATATGTAATAAGTAGCTACAGTGACTGCAGGTTGGTTTTCCTTTCTTTGTTCAGAAGGACTATGATGCAAATCATACTGATATTAAGAGAGCAGAGATTTCCACAAACCATTTACACGGTACTGACACTTAAGAAGTCATTTGAAGACCCATATTTGTTAACACAGAAGATGTAGCTTCGAGCTACCCAGTCTCACAGCCACCATCACTCAATTAGAAGAGGTGCAATCCACCAAATCAATGGTCCAACTGGGTTTGAGCTCACTTCAAAACTTCAGGAGGCTACTGGTAACACTCAGACTTGTGACATGAGAAGATCCTCTGCACTTGACAACCATCAGTATTTGCTGGCTGACAAGCACCTACCTGGGATTCGGATCTTAAACTTGCCGCTTTGTCCAAAGCCACCATCTATTATCCCATCCTCTCCAGTGGACAGCTTCACTTTCAGACCCACGAAAATCTGGATGTTTGTTTCCTTTTTAAACAAGGAACGGCCAATCACACTGTAATCATCCATCACCTGCAAGAGAAACAGAGCTTCCATGAGCGAAGTGACAAGAACAGCTACACCTCTGAGGTACACGCAGCTCAGCAACTTCCAGCATCCTGCCCTTGGAAAAGCATTTACCTCCAAATGCACAGAATTCTGGAAGAGTCATCAGAAACGTTGAGTTTAAAATGATTTGTGTCTAAAACCATAGAAGATTTCATGAGTTAAAATATTTGTGCTTTCACTTCCATTCTTACAATCTAGGAAGAACAAAACCCAGCATCAGAACATGCTGTAAAGATCAGTTAATTAAAATGTCTCTTCTGCTTTGAAACCTTTCCATGGAAGTCACTGAAGTACCTGTGCTCACAAAAAGTTTATTCCACTCCTTTCCCACAGCCAAGTACATTATCACCCATGCAAATGTGCTGTGTCTTAGCTCCAGACCTGCCCTCCAATAGCAACACCTCTGAAAAAAGGCCAGAATTACTCAGAGTTTCTAAATAGAGCCTTTTAAGTATTCACCTTTACACATGGATTTGTGAAGCTAAAGGCCCTATGACCATTGCATCCAATTTTAATTTCAAGGTTTGTAACCCAGTGGGAAGAGCCGTTCTGACTCCAACCGTTAATTAAGCTATCAGGAACAAGCGGCAGCAAGGCTGAGGGGTGAAGAGAGATAACCAACCCTCCCTCAGGCACTGTGAAGGGTAAGGTGCACTCAAGTGAGCCTAATCCTGTAGGTGTGAATATCATCTACCTCACGCCTGGCCTTACTCTCACAGCTGTGGCACGAACATTTATTTATCGGAAGAAATAAGGGGATGTTACTCAAATATTCTCAAGATAATTTTGTGTGTATGCGTGTTCCAGTTCTTCGCATCTTCAGAGCAAATTTTAGGTAAATCTAAGGGTTTCAAAGGCCAACATGACTTCGAAAAGTCAAGAATTATAACCAATTCTGAACACTCCCCTTTAGTCAAAGCATTCCTGGTTTATTAAGCTACTCTACTTCATTGAAGCCTCCTCCACAGACAGCAGTGCACACACAAACTCAAATCCTTGACACCGTTTATGACGTTGTTACGTGTGCCTCTTAATGCCAACCTTAGTATGGCTAACATCAGAAAATCCACTTTTGTTTAATTCTAAATGGGGTTTACTTGCCCTGGAGAGGTCTGTGCAGTATCAGGGAGCACTGGCAGGACCCTCACCCTGTCCCAGACCCCAGGCAGGATGAGGAACGGCTACAGCCCCTCTTCCTCCTCCCATGGGGAGATGACCAGAAGCCAGGCAGCTCCACTCCCACCAGGTGCAGAGCCCAGGCTGCAGGCAGCAGCATTCCAACATCCCAACAACACTCACTGCTGAATCATACACTCATCCATTCCCCAAAACTCATGTTTCTGGTTTTTGGTGCGTCTGCCCTCTCCCCCAACTCAACAAGCACTGCTTCAAAACACCTTGTGAACCAGTAAAGGAAGCATCACTGCTCAGCAACCTCTAGCTTGTATTTAAAACTGAATAATGTCTTTTACTAGAGTCACTGATAACGGGTGGTGGTAGAGAGGGAAGATAAGCTCCCAGGCACAATTGCCTTTCTTCAGGTCTGAAATAGAAGACTAGTGGCAAAAGCAGCTGTTAATTCCAACCTGCAGAAGCACTTGCATCCTTTAAAGCCTTCTTTATTTTTTCCAGTTGCAGTAGCTGATGAAATAAAACCATTACTTCCTCCAACAAATCTTATTCCTAAAACAAGAATATCAAAAGCGAACATTTGTCTCCTCGTTGCTGGCTCCGTGCTCCTCACCCCTGTGGCTGAGGCACAGTCTGTCTCCTACCCTCCAATGAGGATCTTTCATGTACCTTATTTTTGTAGTTATCCCCCAAAATGGCACGAGAAGCCAGTTTTTGAGACAACACAAACATCTTTTATTTTTCCAAGAGCACTTCAAAGTATCTTTAATTAAATTAAAAGGGAATTACAGGGTGAGCACTAGTACCAGCCTCGATGGGTCAGTTCAGAGACCTCCCTGGCAAGAACCTGGGATGAGTTCTGTGAACAAGCATTACATGCATCATGTGCCTTTGGAATAAAACCTTTATGACCCAAAATCCTAGTCTTGTACACTAAATACTACACATCATACACTACATACTACATATCCCATCCTGTGCCTGTTCCCCCAGCCAGCCTATTACCAGTTCAGCCCTGAAGACCGAGTAAGAGGATGCCTGCTGTACCAAGAACTGATCCATCTCTGCAATAAAAGGAATGGGTGAAGGGGAGATAATAGCTACAACGGAAACCTCATTTTCTCAACTTTATGTGAGAAAACTAAAAGAACAATCCAAGTTTTTTGTTTTAGTCCTGCTTTGTAAGCGGGCACAGAAGCGCGTGTTGAGCTCTCCAACTGAAACTCAACACTTCCAATTACTTTACCAGCAATTTACCTCCAATCGCTGGGGTTTAAGTTAATCCCCTTTGAGTTCTCAGAACATCTACAATGGCAATCACTTTGCCTATTAGCTGAACAGCCTTTTGGGAGATTTCTGCTTTCCTCTCCCTCTTTTTTGTTATAAACTATTATTAACTTAAGAAGCCGAGCGCTGCAGCGGCAGGAAGGGATCCGCAGCCCGCGCCGCAGCGGCAGCAAGGGGCCCAGCGACCAGGGCAGACTAATTTTATTAACTTCAGGGAAACTTCAAAAAGCTTTAGGGCTTTAATGCCAGACAGAGACGACCCCAAAAGTCAGTTTAAGTGCTGCATAAACAAAGGATTAGGGCAAGCAAAAGCTGAAGGCTCCTTGCGTTTCTTGTTTATACTGTCGGAGGAGCAGGCGGGCTGGGAGAGCGCTGCCTCCCTGCTCTAATCCCTGCGGTGTACAGTGGCGGTTCAGTTCACTGACCTACATTACCATAATATTTTCTTAAATTTATGGGCAGAGGTGCTGCATCAAACTCACTTAAGGACTTTAAAAAAAAGAAGAAGAAGAAGAAAAGGGGTGGGGAGGGAGAAATACCCAGAAGAGAAAAATAGTGCTGGTACAACCTCCCCCTCTCCCTTAGGTTAGATCAGCAGCTTAGAAAGGGATTTCGAGTTCAAAGGGAACGTCTCTGTTACTCTTGTTTTATGGCTTAGACCAGAGGACACAATAGCACTGAGTTTATGAAATATCCCTTCCCACTCAGCTTTTCTGTTTGCAGGGAAAAAGTAAACAGCCCTTTCTAACCATAGCACGAGCATCCCTACGGCACCTCTGCTAATACCAACAAGTTCACAGGGAACATTAACCACTTCACACGCCCCGTCTAAGCAGCACTTACACCACCACATATTGTTTGTAAAACCACAGTTAACATTACAACTCGGTGCAAACCATAGTGTAATTCCAAGGAAAATAACTGTGATTTCCCTTTGAGCAGGGACACAAGCTGTACTGCACAGCCTGTTAAACCACCCGGGTTGATAAGATAACTCAGAAACTACTATCAGCTGAACACCCCCATCACACATCTTGAGAGCAATAACTCTGTGTCCTAACATATCTGCAGGAAAAAAAAAAGGGGGGGTATCAGATCAGAAACACAGAAGAACCAAAGCGGTGCCAGAATGAGAAGGGAAATAGGGAACGGTTTGAGACAGAGAAAGCAAAAGCACTGAATATTAAATACTAGAAAGAGGCACAGAGAGACAAAGGAAAACCTTTTGTGATTTAATCTACAATTTTATGGGTTTAAATAGAAATAAAACATCCCTTTAAAAAGGATAAAAACACATCTGAGGATTATTCTCAAACTGATAAATGAAGTCAAAGCCGAAAACAACAGGAGGGGAAAAAAAGAACAAGAAGAACTTCTGACTAACACTGAGAACACAAAGAATTTTTATTGCATTTTTGTACTTTAGGACAAGTACACTTGAGACATCTTCATCATGATCCCTGAACAGCTCATTTATTTCTAGAGAACAGTCCCGAGCATTTTCCATCACTGTGTCAGAAATGGGAATATTCTGGAGGCAGCAAATTCTTGTTCCTTTTTAAAAACACAGCTTCATGTACTTGGAAAGTGATGGGATGTGAGGACGCAAAAAGGTGAGGGAGAAAAGAACAGAGAGGGACAAAGAAGAGGGGCTTAACAAAGTCCTTACTGGAAATCAAGCAGGAGACAAGGACAGTGGAAGAGGACGGAGATGTCTCTTGGAACAAACTTGCATCCCCTGCTGAAGGCACCACAAGGATGTACAAACATCCTAAGGCTGTCCCCTTCCCACGTCACCTCCAGCTCCAGTGTGGGGATCTTCTGCCTAAGGCCAACTGTCCATCATCTCCCTTGGGTTATAGACTCCTGCTGTTTGGTCAACAAGGTCTGTTAATACCAAGCAATGCTTGTCTGAGCAGCACTGCTGCACAACTCAAATCCGAGTGAAGGTGTGGAGGAGAGGGATGGCCACAGTTCAGTATTACATAGGTTTAGTTAGCTTCACTTCACCTTTTTACTTTCAAAACGCCGAGGAAATTACACTTATATAAAACCTCAGTTATTTAAGTTGCAGAATTGGGCACTTAAGAAGTTAAGAAATGCCAGATGTCCACAGAACCTTACTCCTATCCCTCTTTGATATGCCCCATGATACAGCCTTTACATGACCACATCCAAAACAATTTCACAGGAACCCTGCCTTATTAAGTGCACAGGGGAACAGAATTAATGTTGCATAGGCAACTGTAAATCTGGCATTTCCCAACTTCCAAGTGCTTGATTTTTGCAACCTAAGTAACATTCTTAATACATTTTTGGCTCCAATAAATAAAATGGAGCACTGGTTGCCTTGCTGACAAACCGATTCCCCCACAGGTGACTCTTGCACAACCTCAGAAAAATCAAGACCAGCTGTCCATACACTTGCAAGGCCCAAAAAGCATGTCTGCATTTTGAATGTCATCATATAAATAACAACCATAGGTGTTACTCAAACCTTGCAGAATTCTACTGGCCAGTCACGTGCAGAGAGCCCTTCTTTTGCTGGGGAGTGAATGAGACACCCATCTTCTCATACGAGTGAGCAGCAGATTCTGTGCTCGGCCAGTATGCTTTTATGACACATAGATTCTACTGCATTAATCCATATGCTGCGTCAGACAGCAAACATCACCCTTCCTTTCTCAGCACTGGTATTTGTTTAATAAGCACACAGCCCTCCCTTCTCCTTCCCCTTTCCCCCACTAAGCTTCTCAAACCCTTTTACTCAAAACCTAAACAAGAGCCAATAAATAAATGCATCTTTTATATTCCTGCTTTACAGTGCATTTTAACTGGTGAATGTGCTGTGCGCTTTTATTCACCTGAATGCCTTCATCCCTGTATTATGACTGTATTTAGCATACCATCAGCAGCCAGGCAGAACCAAACAAACTCATGTGCAGACTTCAAAGCAGGCAAAATATTAATTGTGGCGTCTGCATGTTTACGGTGGATGGAGCAACATCCACCAGGGCCCTGCTGTGGTCCCCATGGCTCCCACAGGCAGCACCCAGCTTTCACTGGGCAGCTTGGTCCTGTTACATTGCACCCAGGTTTGTCCAGTCACCCAGAAAGCATCCCTGCCTGGCTTTGTGTTGTACCTGCTCTCCTGCTGGCACTACAGTGCCACTGTAAGAACAGCAGCAGCCCCAGAAAGGCAATGAAACATCCTTTATCCAGAAATAAGTTAGATGGAAGATTCAGCAGCCCTGAGGAGGAGGACTTGGGGGGTTTGGATGATGAGGAGCTCCCCATAACCTGACAGTGTGCACTTGCTTTTGCTTTTCCATTCAGGCTTCAAAAGAGATGCACTGACTAAAACCTTGGTAACTTACCCCGCTTTCCCATCTTGCTCCTGCAACAATACTTCTCCCTTTGGGGACACTTACATAGCACCAATATTCAAATAACCAGTCACATGTTGTTATTAAGCACTAAGTAACACTTCCATCCTCCCAAACATAAACATGCAAGGTATACAATGGCCTTGGTCCCCACAGGAATGAGTGTGCTAAGAAAACTCATTATCCAGCAACCCACAAAACTTGGGAACAGAGTGGCTGTGAGTAACACCAGGACATCCCATAGCTGAGACATGGAAGGAAACTGATGAACAAAGAAGTGCAGTGTCATAAAGCCTAAGAACAAGGCAAATAATAAGAAAAATACATTAAAAACTTCACACAGAGAAAATGAGTTCTTAATGTGAGAGGAACACACAGAAAGCATCTTTAGGAAGGACAAACCCATTCTCCTCAGAAACATTCTGCTATGCTTAAAATGGGAAACAATCACAGCTGAGACTTGCGTATGTTTTTCACCACACAAACTTGTAAGTGCAGAAGGTGCAGCCTGTGCTACGCAAGCAAGGCAGAGGGTTTTCCTTCTCCTTTTGTTTCTGACAAAGCTACTGATTTACGAGCATCCTCAACAATGGGACCCAGTGGCAACCATCCTAAGATAAATCCTGCTGGTGCAAACACTTTCAAAACAGGCAGAATATCTGAGTCACGCAGGAAACCATGATGCACTTCTATGGTTCACCTTGCAGTTGAAACTCTCTGCTCTCAACCCGTGTGTCCATGGAAGCCAAAGAGCAAATAACGTGACAAATAGAAGGGATTTATCCCAGGAACTGAGTAACTGCTTCACGAGTCAGGCTGGAATCAATCTTCAATGCTGTGCAGAGGTAGAACTGAGAGGAAGGTATTTCAAAAGCAGTTTAGGGATTAATACAAGTCTCTCTGCCCACAGAACTGCCAAGAGCTGACTGGTGAGATGGGGGTCTCCAGAAGGACAAGACCAAGGACAGCAGTTGCTGTTTATCCTCAGTATCCAGGTCCAGGGGCTGCTGACCTGCTCTAGTTTAACAAGCCCACATTTATCCCCACTGCTCTCTGCTACTTCAGAGGGACAAACCTCCTTCACAGCATCTCGTTTACCCCTTTTTTCACAGGGACTCCCACATCACGCTCCTTGAAGCAACACTGGTGCTCACAATAGCACTCTCAGTCTTGCCTTTACCCTGTTATCAGCACAAGCCACTTGTTGCCAGCCTGGTTCTTTTTCCTATCGAAAGCTCATTTGTCAGGCAGCCAAGGCTCTGCATAAATAAAGTGTCCAGAGGGCAACAGTCTCTGCCTCCCTGTAGCCACGCCAGAAAGATGCTCTTGACAGAAACTTCCTTCCACTGAACTTCTCCCCTCCTCTCTGCAGGAGAAAGCTGGACTCGTATTTCACATCATTTTAAGACCATCAAGTCAAGGAATCACAAACCTCTGCCTCCAAGCTCAGAGGGAATGGCAGATTTTGATTTTCTTACAACTAACCCCTAAAAGGCTTATTGTAACCACAAAGCAAATCTGGTCTGCAGTAAAGCAGGAGCAGTCACACACTTACAACAGCTCAAACTAACAGAGAAAAATCATAACTGCACTTTGAATCATGCAGCTTTTCCAGAGCCAAGCTGCAACCCCAGCATGGTGAGAAGCAGGTTTCCTGCATTATGCAGCAGCTCAGACAACACTGACTTCACTCAGAAAGCAGTGATACAGAATTCAGAGCCAAATTTCTCAGGTACTACAATAACACATCCCTAAAGAAAGGATCAGCAGATAAAGAAGCAAGGATGTGAAAAGAGGCTCAAGGTAAATTCAAAGTCTCTGGTGAACAGCAACAGTCAGGCTTTGATTCTTTCCCTCCTAGTGCTCCATTCCGCATTAAAGCGCCAGGGAACCAAAAGGAAACAGTGAGCACAAGGGTATCTGAATTTCTGTGGGACACTCACCATCACTGGAGCAGATGAGAAAACCCAGGAAGCTAAAGTGTGAGTTTTCACTAAAATCCACTAATTCAACACAGTTTGCAGGTTTAAATGTGATTTATAAAAGATGCTGTTTACCCAGTTCATGGATCTGATCTCTGTGTGAAACAGTAAAGCCATCACACTTGCTCTTAGAGAGCCGCAAACCTTTGAGAAGAAACGTTCTTTTTATTTAAAAAACCCCAAACAAACCCCAAAAAACCTCCACCCAAAACCCTTAAAAACCCCGCCAATTTAAAACCCAAGAGGGTGCTGTGCCCAAGGGGCCCAAAAGAAAAGCGCCATGGTGCTGAAACTTAATGAATTTACAGTTCTTACTATTCCATCAGTGCTCTGACATTAATCAGAGCACGAACAAAAAGCCAAACCATAAATGCCTGATTTCTCCTGGGTAAACGGGTAGTTAAACCACAGGGAATTGATTCTAATTCCAGCAGCAGGCAGGGGGAGAGCCCCCCATCACATCAGCAGCAGTGTTTCACAATGGGACACTCCTGAACCCTGCTGCATTCCGATCATGGATGTGTGCTTCCAGACGGTACTAAGCCCAGAAATGCAGCTGGTACAGCCCCTGCCTCCCTTTTGGGATGCTCTGGGGCTCATTTTCCCCAGCAGCGTTCTCTGGAGGAAAAGTTCACTTCTCGTGGAGGTAACCTGCATTTTTTTAATTATTATTATGATTTTTATGCCTCCCGGGGGGGGAGCTTCCTTACTCAACAGAAAAAGAAACTTTCCTGCATCAGTGCCAAGAACAGACACCCTAAATTGAGCGATCCTAATCTCCAGCCATCAGCAGCAGGGTGGGACCAGCTGATTCAGACTTTCTATGAGCCAATGACTTTGTGTACTAAAATAAGGCACTGTACCACCCAACTGTTCCTGCTGCTCGCTGCTCTGCAAGAGCACAGGCTCAATAGCAGCTCCCGACTGGAAGCACTTCCCCAGCTGGCACAGCCCTCTTCCCATCAGCTCTTCCAAGTCCCTGAGTGCCCCTGTGACTTCACACTGTGAGGGTTTCTTAGGACACTTGCTCCACCATCGTGTATCAGGGAAAACACCAACCCTGAGCATCTGCAGTGCCGCGGGAGGCAGAACCCAAGAACAAACCTGATCTGCAGACAGCCTGGTCGATGGCAACTGGTCATTCATGAGGCCAATTTCTATGCATACAAACAGTGGGTCCAGCTCTAGGGCCTCCAACACAAGAGGGACATGAAGCTGTTGGAGTGAGTTCAGAGAATGGACCTCCTGCTAGAGCAAGGCGCTCCAAGCCCCTGTGTCCAACTTGGCCTTGAACACTGCTAGGGATAGAGCATTCACAACTTTCTTGGGCAGCCTGTGCCAGTGCCTCAGCACCCTCACTGCAAAGAATTTATCCTTATACTTAATCTGAGTCTCCTGTGTAACACATTCCCCTTATCCTATCACCACAGTCCTAATGAAAAGTCCCTCCCCAGCATCCTTGTAGGGCCGCTTTCACACAGTCTTCACACTTCAATGTCCACCAATATATGCATTTACATAGAACAAAAATTCCCCCTCCCCATGTATAGCACTGAAAAGGTAGCTTACCCTTTCCACTTGTCCTTCTTTGTGCTTCAGCTTGTACACTTTCAGCTTTGGCAGGAAAGTCTCCATGTAGTTCTTGTCTTCCATGCCTTGGAGCAGCACCCCATGGAATGCCAGCCTGCAGGTATTTGCATGGATATCTGTATCCAGCTTGGAGCCGATCACAAGGCACAGTTTAGGACAAGTGACTGGTTTTTCAAACTCTAGCAAAGCCCACTGTTGTCTTGGGAGCTGGACTTCTCCTGCCTGGTCATTCTCTTTGTTCTCAGAAGAACTTGAGTCCTTGGACAAATACACCTCTTGATAAAGATAATCTTTTTCAAAATCAAAAGCATTTTCTTGAACTTCTTTATTGAAGTCAGCAGGGGCTGGACTGAAAAACATCACTCGTCCCATAACAGTTTCATGGCCAACTGTGATATGGAACTTGGCCTTGGTCTGCAGAGCACCTCGAAAATACTGGATTTTCTTCAGGGAAATGATCGCAGCGTGGATGGTGTGAAGTGACTCTGGGGTGCAGATCAGGCCTCGTTCTAGCAGCTTGGGATCAAACTGGGTTACACAGATGCCCACTCTGTCACCCTGCATAGCGTAAGTCACAGGAGTATGGAACATCTGCATGGACTTGACCTTCTTTGTCACCTGTTGAGAGAACAAGAAAGAGAAGCTATTAATCACCATCTCAGTCTATGACCTTCCATATATTTAAAAATCAACAACTCAAAGCTTTCTTGTAAAGAGTTGAATTTTCATAAATTCAGGGCTAACATCACTGTCAGTAATGTGGGGTTCCACCTCTTTGTATTATTATGAAGGGAAGGATACTGCTTTACTCAACCTATTGAGGATCAGCCCTTCATACCTGTCCAGTACCTTGCAGACAATTTAATCAGCCCATCTATATTTATCCTAAATGCAAACAGTTCTTTCCCTTATATTCATGATATTTATTCTTCTGAAGTTCCCACAGACAGAGCAAAGGAGAGAAGGAGGAAATAAGAACATCACATTCAAGCCCATTTCTTTTTTCCTACATGTTCTCTGTACCAGAATCAATTGTAAAAGTAGTATAGAGTACAGAATGGGGAGGGCGAGGGGAGGGGATGTGGATTAGATCACGCAAGAACCAAACTGGAATTGCATCTCCTTCAAAAGGTCAGACATGGAACCAGCAGAGAAGTGAATCAGTGAGCTGATCTGTACCCACTGGATCAAGTAACAAGAGCCAGAGTAACTTTAAATCACCAGCTTCCTGTTTGCTGAGCAGCCCATGAATACCAGTACAGTATTACATTCCCTTCCATTCTGACCCCAGCTGACAAGAGACATTTGTCCATGGTTCAAATACTCCAAATGTAGAGTTTTCTTCAAGAGACTCAAAATTCATCTTTGTTTTGTCTGGCCTTTCAAATACAAACCTGGAAGTACTGAAAGGGATACAACTGGCCCTCAGCTTTAGATTTGTTTCTCTTCTGCATACCTCGTTTTTCCCATGTGTCCCCACGAGTTACACCACAGCTCTAAGCTTCCACGTATCTCCTTTATCTTTACAGCAATACAAATTTCCAGTAGGGAATTTGGGCTGGATCACCGAGCCCACCAAACTACCAACAGAATGACCTTAATCATTTTGCAGCACTCTGCCCTGAGCAATAGGAGTTCATAACTGAGAACAGCTAGGAGCAACATCTTCAACATCCGTGCATTTATTTATCTTGAGCACTCAATTCTTGTCCTCAAAGTCCATTCTACAAAACAACCTCCATCTCATCTTGTCCATGAAAACAGTGCAAGGCCTGTTTTGGCAATTCAACAGACATTTTACTTTTCTTTGGGGGAATTAGGCACTTAAAAACAAAAGGAGTGAACAATATTGAGTGTAACTTTAATAAGAGACTTTATTGTGTGCAAACAATGGAGGTAAACATAGAAAACCAGTATAAAACTTGTTACAAACTTCACTAAAATTCATTCACGTTTTGTTTCCTCAAAACAGCACAAGGGAATTGATGGTATCTGATTATATCAATCAAGAGCCATGTGTTGAAATCTTACATCACTTGCAAAGGGATTTGCTTCCCCGTTTAAATTTTATTTGTATAATCACATTAATGTTCCTCAAGCATTAGGTAAAGGTCTATCAAAAGGGTGAGAAAGAAGTTCATGTTTTTCAAATGCCGATTAAAAAAAATGCAAACCAGAAATCAAAAGCACCCAACCAGTTCAGCCCTTGAGATAAACAAGTGTGTTCAATATAAGGCAAGAACCTGGTTTTTGAAGACCAAAGGACAAGCCCACTAAGATTTTCAAAGCAGTTAAGCACGGACTAATAGAAAGCAGGATACAGAAAAACTCCACTAATGACTTTTTCCCCCGATATGTCAGAGCTTCTTTTCCTTTATTTATCCAACTTCCATTAAGTTATCAACCATATGCCATTGCTCAAAGCTTCTTTAGATAAGAGCCTAGTCATCCTGCTGGCTCCCAGTGCTGTGAGTGGAAAGAGGCATCAGCCCTACTTTTCCCTGTACCACTGACAAGGAACTCAAAGTTAAAGTAATTAGTCTCAATAATCTATAATCAATAATCTATTAGAGAAAATACTGATTATAAAGGCAGCATTTGTCAAAGGAGTATTACATATCTATTACAAAAAGAGACTCCAATACAAATGGAGAGGACTACAACCAGCTTAAAACCAAGATCATATCTCAGAGCTCAGATGCTAAAAGCAGCACCTTTAAACTTACATCCAGGAAGGATGAGGAACTGATGAATGAAGAAAGCATCATTTCAGCCCTGAGGTTTAGAAACACACCAAGAGCAAGCTTGCCTCAACCAGCACACAAACATGAATTAAAAGTAACTAGAAAACCCCAAAACACAGCCTTGAGAGGCATAAACTGACCATACAAGGAAGCAAAGTGCCAAATACAAGAAACCCCACCTTCTTTCCCCCAGCAGAAGTGCCTCCTTACAGCTGAAGAGGAAGAGCAAAGGCTCAACTGCACAATCAGAACACATCCCGTATCCTGCTTTTGCAAGGACTCCCTCCCGATTGCTCTGCTACAGACCCAAATCAAGAATGAGGTATCTCATCTTCCTGCTTCCAGTTATCACCTCTTGGTGGCCAAAGGATATCAAGCTACACTGCCAAAAAACCACTGTCCACTTGTCTGACAGGTACCACAATTTTTAGTCTTTACCCAACCCCTGCCTAAGCACATTCACTGAAACAAGCAAAGCTCCAATTCAGACCTAAGATAGCTCTGACTCATAAGTGCATCTGTCCAGAAATTCACTTCTGATCATGAAGAATGCCAAATTCTTTGCTTCTAACTCACATCAAACCCCCCAAATCCAACCTGCACCTCACCGTTTCCACATGAGAATGCTGTGTAAGATGCTACCCAAACCCTGCTAACACCACAACTCTTCCTATCTACCTTCTGACACAGAAGGACATTGGGCTGGTCACACATGACTTGCCCTTGCAGTATTACATGGTCTTAAGATGCTCTTTGGCCTCCACTCTTTACATCTCCTCCTCTACCTGGGACTCACAAGGGGAACACCAAGGGCACCGAGCCCCACTGTGCATTTGTCTTCTCTCTGCATTGCTTCTTCCACATTTGGGTGACTATTCACATAAGGGAAGACCACATCCTCTTTTACTCCTCTGGCCAAAAGAGCCTGAGGTAGGTAAGGAAGAGACCCCCACACTCCAAGGATGTGTGGAAGGAAGCAGAAGCCAGATACCTACTATGCATCCTTCCATCTCTAATTGACTAAAATCTCTCTGGGGTTTTTGTAATAAGAAAAAAAAGGAATCTTAAGACACAATACCCTTAAACTGAGTGGTGCTGCTTGTGCCACCTATCACTACAGATGACAAAGCACACCTTTTAAAAGCAGAATGTAATGCCAGTGAGTTTATCCACCAAGTACCTAGGCAGCGAATGTCAGACCCATAATAAAACTATGACATAGAATAAGCTTAACATTTACATTCCAATTAAAATTTCTGCAACTTATCAAAAACTATTTCAATAAACCATTTTTCAAAGGAAATTAAAAAAAAAAAAAAAGCCCAAAAGAAGCCAAAGCCAAGGCAGATGATAGGTTACAGAAAGGCTGTCTGGCATTTTCTGCTTCCAAAAGAACTGAATTCTTCTCTTTTTTTCCCCAAATAGATTTAGGTTTAGAACAATAATAATACTTTTATCTGAAGACTTCAAAGTCACATACAGAAGAATGTATCACAGTAAACACAGGGTTGAAGGTTTTATAGAAGAACTTCTACTGGGGTGCTTTTTTTCTTCTTCTTCTTTAAGAGAAATTTGTTTACTACCAGCCTTTGAAAAGCATGAAAGGGAGGAAACTATAGGGCAAGCAAGTAAAACTTTCACATGTAAGGAACATTTGGAGCTTTGTGAGAAGGCTGGTTTGGGTAGAATGTGCGACATGTAGCCCACTGCGAGTAATAGTATATCTCAAATAAAAATCAGCCCATGAATATACATAATCCAAAAGGTAATTCTCCCAATCTCCGAAATGTAATGGAGCCACTCTAGATCACTGAGGCATGAATATTTACCGTATTCAGGCTTTACCGCTCTCGATCTGGGTTCAATTTTGCAAATTAAAATGAAGGCTCTGCGGATAGAGAGATTAAAGAAGAGCATCCCAAAGCCTGCCTGCTTCCTTGGTGTGGCAGCAGTGATCTGGTTACCCTTCTGTTAGGTTATTTCTTTTTACTTAATGCAGTAGGTCAAAAGCAATCGAGAGTGGAAAGAGGAGGTCATTACTGGGTCACAACCCTGGAGTTAAAGGCTCGCTAAGGAAAACAAACAGAAAGTGAACATAAAACTGCATTTAAAAATAAAACCTGTAATGAAAAAATAATTTTTCCAGCTCTTTTCACTTCTGTTTTGACAGGTCAAGAAGAAAAACAGGAACAAAGTTCTTCTTTCTCATGAAGAGAATTCTCCGGTCCCTTCTTGAAAATGAGCTCATTAATAGAAACTGTGATTTATACAAAATGAAATAAAGGTGATGAATAAGTACCACGAGATCTGGTAAGCTTTATTTGCAGCAGCAAATGTTAACGTTTACCCTGATGATTCGTACATTTTCTAGGAAACACTTGGAATATAAATACAGCAGCACCAGTGCAACGCAGCACACGCAAGTACACCCACCAGTACAAATCAAATGACACGGTACCACTCCTAGCGAATTCCTCCTACTAATTACAACCAAAACAAAGGCTACCTCTGCTGAGAGGAGAGGAAAAGAGTTCATTACTATCAGCCAACTTTTTAGTTTATGAAATGGAAAACAATTAGGGTATAAAATCTTTGCAGCTTTTCCTTGCGGTAGGGTTTTTTTTCATGGCAAATAAAGAGTTTAACTGGAGCAATTCCTAAGCCAAGTCAGTAACAGAGATTAAGATTAGATGAGTAAATTTATATCCTCTGCATTGTATGTTGTTTTCAAAATCTAAGCAGTTAAGTCTAGAGTAAAAACAAATGGATTTATCCCTATCACCTTGGCAAGTGATACCAAGCTATTAAAGAAACAGAGCAGCAGGGTGCAAAGTTTGCTATAGCAAACCCAAATTCTATTGCATAGATACATGG